GGAGGAGACCCGGTCTCTGTCAGACCTTTCAGGCCTGTGCAGGAGTCACTCCCAAGGCCCCAGGAGCATCTCTGGAATGTGGAGTCCTGGATGGGGGACATTCCCTGGGGCCTCTACTACCCGCCTTGGGCTGGACTCGAGCTGCAGAGGCAGCCAGGGAATGGGGGAAGCCTCTGTGTGCACACTGGCTTTGATTTTTGACCCCCAATCAGGACTAAATGAGTTATTTCTTATTTGACCAAAGACTATCTTTTAGTTTTTTGTTTTCTCTTCTTTTCGTGTTAAAAGGTACAGACTTCAGGGCCTCCTGGGCCACTGAGGTTCTTAGGAATATGGCTGCAGGCATTCCCTGTAATATCTCTGGAAACTAAAGGAAGTGCCTGGGCTCAGCAGTGATGGGGAAGGGGGGAAGTCCCTGTGGAATTTCTGAGTTTGGGGCCAATAGGATCTAAAACCAGAAAGTTCCAGCATCTAATGAGGTCACGTTTGCATAGGAGGGCCAGGAGCCTGGGGGGAAAATCTGATTGAATGATCAGTTGATGAGAAGCCCCAGTCTGAGTCCCCAGCAATCTATCTTCATAGGGGCAGCATTCCTGGGATGACTGGACTCTTTTATTTGGAAAAAACTGACAGACTGCACCCCATAAATCCTGCACACCCCCTGGACTCTGCCTTCAGTGCCCCTGTATCCTAGGGGTGCTTCTGCCTTCCTAGGTCTAGTATACACAGGGCACTAGCATTGGGCCAGGCATCAGCACCCATAGGAGAACCCACCCAGAGCAGCAGAGCGACTCCCCATCCCCACCTCCCCAGGCCTTTCCCCGTGGAGACAGCTTAGGAACCCTTCTCCATGACCCCACAAGGTAACCATTTGTTCCTAGCATGGAGATCCAGTATGACTGGTAGGTGAACTGCTGGGGAAAATTCTATTTCTGTAGACAGGGGGCCTTCAGAACAGCTTGGTGTTCAGATGCATCTGGGGTCACTGGATCACCTCTGTTTCTCTGCACCCCAAAGAATACTCAGCATATAGACACACACAGTCGATGAAGAAATCAGTCTCACAGGCTTCCCTGCCTCCCTGCGTTCCTGCCTCCCTCCCTCCCTCCCTCCCTCCCTCCCTTCCTTCCTTCCTTCCTTCCTTCCTTCCTTCCTTCCTTCCTTCCTTCCTTCTCTCCCTCCATTCCTTCCTTCCTCATGGTTCTTCCTCCCTTCCTCTTTTTCTCCCACCCTACCTTCCTTCCTTTCTCATGGTCTAACCTACCTTCCTTCCTTCCTTCCTTCCTTCCTTCCTTCCTTCCTTCCTTCCTTCCTTCTTTCCTCCCTCCTTCCCTCCCTCCCTCCCTCCCTCCCTCCTTCCCTCCCTCCCTCCCTCCCTCCCTTCTTTTCTTCCTACCCTTCCTGGCACTCAGGACTTACTCCTTGCTCTGCACTCAAGAATCACTCCTAGTAGGCTTAGAGGACCACATGGGGTGCTGGGGATTGAACCAAGGTCAGCCCCATGCAAGGCAAGCACCCTACCTGCTGTGCTATAGCTCTGGCTCTCACGGGCTTTTCTTTCAAACAGCATCTTTTTCCATGTGGGTTTCTCACAGACTCTCATCTCAGTAAATAGTGGTGCCAACAATCTTCCCAAAGAGCCATGGGAGGGCTCTGGGGCAGGCAGACAGCTCAAAGGGCTGGAGCTCGAGCCCCAAGATCCAACACCCAGCGCACCTGGACCACTCCGTCTACGCAGCCCTGCCTCCTACTCTCACCTGCCACTTTATTTAAGCCAGTGCCTAGCAAGTCAAGACAAACCAGTCTCAGCTCCACCCCATGTGTCTCTGCTTAGAATCTCTATGTTGGGGTCAGTGATGCGTTCAAAGTGCTCACAAAAGAATTCCATCAGGTGATTTAAAATCTTATTTTTCAAATGGTGGGACAACGGGCTGTGACCCCATATGGGGGTCAGGGAACTGAATGTGGGGGTCATTTTGAAATACATTCCTTAGTGATTTGTTATTAGCAAATGTTTGGCTTGGAGACCCATCTTATACTCTTATGTACTCAAGGTCAGGCAAAAAATTCCTTATGCAAGAAGGGGTCATGAGTAGAAAAAACAGTCCTGATTTATTCTTTTACTTAGGGCAGAGGTTGAGCCATACCTGGCAGTGCTCAGGGCTTACTTCTGTCTCTGTACAGCTCAGGAACCACTCCTGGAGGTGCTCAGAGGACTATGTGATGTCGTTCAAAACCAGGGTCTGGGGCTGAAGCAATAGCACAGAGGGTAGGGTGTTTGCCTTGCATGTGGCCCACCCAGGTTCAATTTTGGCATCCCATATAGTCCCCCAAGCACCACTAGGAGTAATTCCTGAGTGCAGAGCCAGGAGTAACCCCTGAGCATTGTTGAGTGTGTTCCAAAAAACAAAACAAAAAAATCAAAAAAAAGCAAACATCCCAAACCAGGCTGGTTGTCTTCTAGCTCTTAATCCATGTCCTATCTCTCTGTCTCACAGTCCTGATTTAAAGAGATATGGACTGAAAATAAAGATGTAAAGAACCCTCAGGCGACGCTCTTAGATGGCCTCTCTGTGCAGGCAGCTCTCCTGGGTCCTCAACGCCCTCCCCTGGCCTCAGACCTGGCTGCCAGGGGGAAGGAACTCCCATGAAACAGGAGACTGATTTTCCCCCAGAAAGCAGTCCCAGCTCCCTGTGGACAGCCTTGGGTCGCTGTCCCTGAGGCTGGGTTCCAGCTCACACGATGCATCCAGTCTCAGTGCTTCCTAAGGGAGGCTCTCAGTGTCCCCAAATGAAGCTTATCACAATCTTACAACTGAAATGCACTTAAGCCCAACGGGAGGAACCTTTTAAACAAGCCGGGCGGTAGATATTATGTAGTATAAATTCCTGTAGCCATCCTCGGCGGTTTCCGATTATCTGAGCAAGGGAAAGGTAGGGACTGGAAGCGCCCCGACCTTCCTGCCAACAGAAAAACTGCTTCCAGGGGCATCAAGGGGGAACTCTGACTCTGATTCTCCGCTGGAACTTGCCACACTTAACCCATAAACATACAGGACATGCAAGATCTCCTCTGCATTTTCAGATACACAATTAAGTATATATACAGTTATATATCTCACTGTAAGTCAGTCAGTCCTGTGAAATATTTAAGACCACGTTCATCTTACACAATTCTATGTTGTACCCTGGAACCCGATGAAACTGGTGTTTCATCTGCTATTTTTCCCACATTGCGACCGCAGGTGCTGATCTCTCAGAGGGTGTGTGATAAACGGTGTGGAAGTGTGTGTGTTGGGGGTTCTGAGTGGGTGGGAGCCCCACCAATTGCTTAAGAGAACAGCGATATGGTGGCCCCCTTTCTGCACTGGCTGTTTTCACTCCTTCCTCTTCAGGCTCCCCCTCCTTCCTATCCCACACACCTTGCTTCAACTGTGCCAGTCAGGGTCTCCTTTAAGAGATGCCTTGGGCTCCCCCAGGCCAGCACCCTCCTTCACACATTGAAGCCTCATGATCTCTGTTGCACTGAGGGGCTCACACTGTGGGGTTTGGAGGGGGATGGAAACAGCTCACCTAAGAACTCACTGGCTTCTGTCTCCAGCTATGCCCTGTGCTGTTTCGCAGGAACAGAGGCAAAGAGGTTGGAGGGGCCCGTGATGGAATATTTCCTGCCCCTCTCCCCTTCCCCCCATACAGAGCGCCTCTCCTATCCTGCTGCACGTTGCATGTTGTAGGTCAAGAAGTGATCCTTCCAACACCCTTTATTTGGTGCTCCCTTCTCTATCTGAGCTGCCTTTTCCCCTAGCATGTGTGGCTGGGAGAAGCATGCTGAATGTAGACTATAGACCAAACATGATTGCCACTCAATGCCTCTTTTGCAAACCGCAACACCCAAAAGAAGAGAGAGAACAAAAGGGAATGCCCTGCCACAGAGGCAGGGTGGGATGGGGGGATGGGGGGTGGGAGGGATACTGGGATCCGTGGTGATGGGAAATGGGCACTGATGGAGGGTTGGGTATTTGATCATTGTATAATTGAAACCCAAGCACAAAATATGTAAGTCTACAACTGTACCTCATGGTGTCTCACTAATAAAAATTAAAAAAAAAAAAAAAGAAGTGATCCTCTTCTCCTCCCCATGACCCATGGGACTCCGAGGTGACGCCACATCCGGCCACCGTCTATTTAAGCTCCCACATGGCCATAATCTAGAGACACACAAACGAATCTCAGAATGAGTAACTCGTTGCAGCGATCTTCTCAGATCCTAATTATTAAAACTTTAGAATTCCTAGATACATTATATTGCATCCATCGTAAGTAATACAAAACATATTGTCTAGAAAAAAAAGTGAACCTCTATTTGGAGTCTGCGCAGACCCCTGGAACCTAAGGCTATGCCAGATCCAGAGGCAAGGAGAGACCCTGCAGGAGTGGGTGCTGATCTACGCCCCCAGACGCCCCCCTGAGAGCAGCCTGATTTCAAACTACTGATTGGTGGTCTCCAGCGAGCCACACTCTAAAATAATCGCAGCTATTTAGTAAAAGCAGGGAGGACAGAGCTCTTGGTTTCAGCCTTCCGAGTATAAGCTTGCAGCAAAAACATTTAGAGCAAAGCCGTAAAATGCACGAGAATAGGAAGAAACACTGACACGACAATAAAACAAGGGGCGAGATTAATGATACCACAATACAATCTGTTTGCATTTGCTGCCCAGAAAATTAATTCTTGAAGACATTTCATTTAGCTTGGCAATATTTCGCAGCTTAACCTTTGGTATTCAAAACTTTTCCCTGTTATCCTCTCTCACTCCCTTGTAGCCTTTGGGGAGGAGGGGGAGGACCAGTTGGGTATATGGTTGATCCTGTGGGTGACGCGGGTCAGAGGCTACTGAGGCGTGCCACGGGGCATAGATGGTGATTCTCAGCTTTTCACTCCCCTGTGAAACAACCTCTTTAATTACCCGCAAGTCAATTTCCAAAAGAATGAGATACATTACCTTCCAGAGCAAGGCACCGGGGTGGGCTGGACGACCAGATAAGGTTGTGCAAGCATTCAAGGTACTCCGACCCCTCGAGTTTAAATCCAGGAAAGCAGTGGTAGGAGATGACGGTCCCCACCGCGAAGGAGGTCTGGTACTCGGAGATGTTGACATAGCCATTCGAAGAGGCCAGAGGTCTCAGGCAGCCTGTGAATGGAAGCAGAGGCAGTCAGTTTCTGTGGTGCCAATTGTACAGCAAACTGGCACACAACGCTCCTGGTTACTGGGCCAGGGAGATAGTTCAGGGGTCTTGGCAGTTCAGCTCCTGGCAATACAGAGTCCCCTCCAAGGATGCCTCCTGAGCACAGAGCCAGGAGTAGCCTGTAAGAACCCCAGGAAATGGCACTCATCCTAAAGGCAAAAGCACTGAGTTCTTCAACCCCCTCCCCCACGATAGAGGGTGCCTATCATTCAAAGGGACCTGAACTGGGGAAGGGGAGACACTCAAGAAGCTCGATGGCAGGATCTGCCTGCAGGAGACCCAGGTTCTACCCTGGCCCTATGTGGCCCCCAGCACCACTGGGAGGAATCCCCAAGTGCTGAGCACTGGCAGGTGTGGCCCCCTCAAACCTAAAAAGACTATAAAGGAACATGAACTGAAAAAAAAGATGGGATGTTATATTTTGTAGTCATACAATGCTTATGGGACACACTTACTCCATGATTACACGATCACTATAAAAAGGAAATACAAAAAGTTGAGACAGCACAGATAAATTCAGAGCCCCTGTAACAATGAGGGTAATGGCATCCACACATCCCTTCCCACAATCCCCTGCGGTCCTGATAGGCACCTGCCCGTACCTGCTGGTTGCTGGCGCAGAGCACTTTTACTCTAAGAATCTCCAGACTTCCTTATCAACAGACTAGCTGTCAGCAGGGAATTTGCTTTTAGACTTGCAAAGAGCACCAGGAGGGTGAGAGGACTCGGGGGAGCCAGGAGGCAACTGAGAATGAAGAGATACTCACTGGGGGTTCCAGCCCTGCCTGCATCAACCGCCAGAGGAATGTTGAGAAAACGTCAGTCCCTTGGACCCCTGCACAGGAGAGCCTGGGGCTCATCCTCTATTTTCTTTTCTTTTTAAGCTCTCAAAGCCATCCTAACGTGTTTGTGGGACTGAGGACCCACTGGGATGTCAGTGGGGAAAAGAGACACACCCGTGGCTTGCCAGCAGTATTGGGTGGGTGGGTGGCTTGAGAAGGTCAAGATACAAGCTTGGGGGGCTGCAGCGATAGCACAGCGGGTAGGGCATTTGCCTTGCATGCAGCTGACCTGGGTTCGATTCCCAGCATCCCATGTGGTCCCCCAATCACCGCCAGGTCATTCCTGAGTGTAAAGCCAGGAGTAACCCCTGAGCATCGCTGGGTGAGACTCCCACCCCCCTCCAAAAAAAAAGATACAAGCTTGGTCTGATGAAGTTTCACATTTATGTTGCATGTGAAAGAGGGCAGGGGGCCGCTGGCATAGTGTGGGAACCTGAGGAGGAGGACCGGAGAGCGAGTACAGCAGGGAAAGCACTTGCCTAACACGGGACTGACCCAGGTTTGACCCCTGGCAGGACGTGTGGAGCCCTGAGCCCAGAGCCAGGAGAAAGCATTGGGCTTAGCAAGGTGTGGTCCAAATGCCAAGCAAACAACAACAAAAAAAATCCAACCTGAGCATGATCCAGAGGGCAGTTTGCTGGAACATGGAGTCTTCCTACCCACACATTCCCCACCCCCAATGCCCAGGTTCTTTTGTAGCAGACCTCTGGGTTTGAGTAGGTTTGACGGGGTACCCGAAGATCCGTAGAGCTGATGCTGGGGGGGGGGGGCAGGGGCTGCTGTGGGGTTGCTCTGGCTGCGGGTGCTGGGAGCAGGCTCTGAGCAGCCACGATCGCTTGAGTCTGCACTGGCACAGACGTGAGGCCTCCCTCCCACACTCCTGCGTCTTTCTGGGAGATGGCAGCTGCCTCGCTGTCTGTAAACCCTTCCTGGGGGGCCTGGAATTCTACTCGGCATGGTCTCTACCCACCCAGAGCGCCGGCTCTTGTGCTGGCTTCAGCAGTTTCAGTGGAGGGAATCGTGACCAGGTAGGGCGGGAGCTCTCCCGCAGGGAAAACTGATTGCGTGTGAAATAAATCATCTATAACGGAGACGCTCACCTTCCCTTCCCATCTCCCGGGACAAAGGAGACCACATGCCCGCTGCAGAAATCGAGGGCTGGCTGGGTTAGACATAATGAGCTTCTGACATCTGGCAGTTGGGCTCCATGCCTCAGTTAACACCCTGGGCAAGGGGATGTATATCAGGGTGAGGCAGGCCTCTGGGGCCCAGAACCCAGGGGAGCTCATTCAGAAACGTGCAGGCATAAGGTTCTGCAGTGCGGTGATCTAGGGCGGCAGAGCTCAGTGGACTGAGCAGAACCTACCTACGAACGCCGGCACTTGGACAAACCATTGCCTAGATGCACGGTGCCCGGGCATCCTTTGAGGCAGTTCCTTCTAGCCTTCAACAATTATTTCCTTGGGGCTGGGACTCCTGAGCAGTGCTCAGGAGGCCTGGAGGGGAAGCAGCATTTCAATGATTTCAGTGATTGACAGTGCTTGAGGACATGAAGCTGCTTAGCTCTGCAGTTGGTGGGGGTTATCCAGGTCATCCCAGCAGTGTTTGGGGGCCTCCGACTCAGTGATGCTGGGGTCGAAGCTGGACTAGAAGCGTTGTATGTGCTCTAACCACCAGACTATCTCCTGGCCCCAAAATTTGTTTTATCTTCCTGAAATGCAATCTAATGACTGTGAATGGCAACAGTGACTGTGTAATAAGGTGGGAGTTGGGGACAAAGATGAAATCTCTTCAAAAACTGAGGAGAAAGAAGGTGACTGACAGGAACAGGTGGGAGAGTAAGATGCCCTGAGAGAAGTTGCTAGACGTTGGCCTGAAAGTCTTTATTTATTCATTTATTTTTCCATTTTGGGCCACATCCTCCTGGTCTCTGTACTTACCCCTGGTTCTGTGTTCAGGGATCACTTCTGGTGGTGCTCAAGGGACCATATGGGTGCTGGGATCAAAATCAGGTCAGCCACGTGCAAAGCAAACACCCTACCCACTCTAGTATCACTCTGACTTTGGCCCAAAGTATTTACTCCTCCTCTCTAGAAAAAGAGCTGTTCTCAGCTCCCCCCAAAGATGAAGTGGCGTTTCCCAAATCAAATAAGTAACTCATTACAGTCAGTGGAGGCTCTTTAAGGACAGTTCTTTTAATCCCAAATTCCCAAAGGGCCTTGGGACAGCCCTTCCCCCGACAAAAGGAGAGGAAGGGGATTATGAGTCCAGCAGTCACTGGCAGAAGGTTCGAGACAGTCTGACTGAAATCCAACAGTAGAAAAACGTCTCCCGCTCAATCGCTCAATGTGATTTCTATTTGCACTTCTAGATAATGGAGAAAAGGCTCCTCAGGCTTTAGTCCCTGGATCTATAGGTGCAAATAAAAGTTGCAGGATGAAATGTCACTCGGGCCAATTATATGCTCCCCGGGGCTCAGGAAGCATCAAGCTAAGGCGGCCTGATCCTTGCCGCCCAGCTGTGCCCAGTGGCTGCTCCACAGCCTGGCAGGGCACAGGAGGTGGGCAGAGAGCAACACAGGGTCCAGGTTTCCTGAAGAGACTGCAGACTCTGGGGAGGCAGTGGATGGGCTTCTGATGCTCTTGGTAGAAGCAGGCCTCTTTTTCTTTTTTAAAACAGTTTATTTATTTAGGTTTCTTTTCTAATTTTTTTTTTATTTATGTACACCCAGCAATGTTCAGGGATTACTCCTGTCTCTGTGCCCAGGAATCACTCCTGGTGGTGCTGGGGGAATCATATGGGATGCGGGAAATGAACCCAGGTCGACAGTATGTAAGGAAGGCACCTCACCTGCTCTACTATAGCTTGGGCCCCAGAAATAGGCCTCTTAAGAGTGGCAGGTCCTGCTCTAAGTTCAGTGCAGAACTAGCAATGTGTTGTGACAGATGCGGGGGTCCTGAGGGGGAGGGACGGGAGGGGGCAAAGGGAGAGCCGGTATCTAATCTCCAGACGTTGACACCACTAGGATGGAGAATGTCATCAGAGAAACCCTTGGGGGCAAAGGAAACCCTGTAGGAAGCATGCTGTGGTTAAGTGGACATAAAAGGTAATGGGAAAGAAAGGGTCCGAGAGGCAAAGGAAAGTGGGAAAGATGACTCCAGAAGTGGATGGTGTCTGCCGTGATTCCCCCACCTTTGTTGAGAGTGCTCCAGGGCTGGAGTGAATCAGCGGTTAATAAAGTTCATTAGAATAAATAATCCAACCTAAGAGTAGCAGGGTTTGGTGGAGATTTTCTATTTTTTTAATTTTTTTTTCTTTTTGGGTCACACTTTGGCGATGCACAGGGGTTACTCCTGGCTCATGCATTCAGGAATTACTCTTGGCAGTGCTCGGAGGACCATACGGGATGCTGGGAGTCGAACCCTGGTCAGCCACATGCAAGGCAAATGCCCTGCTCACTGTGCTATCGCTCCAGGCCCTGGTGGAGAGTTTCTGAAACTGCAAACAAATCACATGCCCTTTATTTATTTATTTATTTATTTAATTTTTTTTCTTTTTGGGTCACACCCGGCGATGCACAGGGGTCACTCTTGGCTCATGCACTCAGGAATCACTCCTGGCGGTGTTTGGGGGACCATATAGGATACTGGGAATCGCATGGGGTCAGCTGCGTGCAAGGCAAACACCCTACCCCCTGTGCTATCACTCCAGCCCCACAGCCCTTTACACTAAAAAAATGTAACAGGAAGTTCCCGGGATAGAGATGCACATGTGAGGCGGGGTGCTGCCTCTCTCCTCATCCCTAAGCCTTTGCTTCTTCAAGGGGTCGAGACATTAGGATCTTGCCAAAGGAGATGACTGATTTTCAACTGTGGGGCATGCAGAGTGATATTGGAGCATGTAGACTGTGATCTCTAAGCACACAGGAAACATTCTTCTCAACATTTAATGCTCAATGCTTTTGGTGCAAATTCAGACCACACACCCTCTTCCCCCAATTATGAATTATGCATCAGCTTCTTAGTCCTTTGGTCCAAGTCACATGTCAAAAAATTAAATCGGAATGAATGTGAACTCAAGGGCTTATTTTCACCAAAAGGGCCCTCTACGCTGGCCCTGGAAAATTTTAAAATGGCAGAAAGACAAATATTTGCGTGGTTTGGACGAAATTTGAATTTGATTACTTTTCTCCTCCTCATGCATTATAAAAAGGATAACATTATTAAAAGAAAATAAGTCTTGGGAAGATTAGCTGGAATGTATTTTCCTCACTACTGAAATGAGTATTAAATATATAATAGTTCATCATTGTGTTCATAGCCACAGTTACAAGTGTCCGAATTCTTAAACTACATTTGGTTTCTAAGAGCAAATAAAGCATCTCACATGCTAAAGAACAAGATTATTTCCATTTTATACTCTAAAATTGGTTGTATAGCAAACTACAACAAAGAGGTAGGGCAAGTATGTAGCTCAGAGGTAGAGCAAATGCATTATATGTATGAGAGCGGGGTTCAAGCCAGGGCACAAATCAACTCACTCACTCACTCACTCACTCACTCACTCACTCACTCACTCACTCTCACAAACAAAGCAACCAATAAAACTAGTGTAACAGACTGAAGACAGCTCCAGGGAGTGAAGAGGAGATTCTAAGAAGAGAGTTTGAGGGTTTGCCGGAAGAAGGGACTGGGGACTTTTGTTTCTCCTCTCCATCCTTCTAGCAGAGGAAATAGGCTCTGCAGTGTGTCCTAAAGAAGAGGACACCCTTCTCAGGTTGAGGGGGGCACTGGAATAATCAGGGGTGGCAATAGGTGTAATGGGGGTACCTTCTCTTTTGTTTTCTTAAAGAAGGGGGAATTCCAAGCAGTGTGATGTTTTATTATGGAAGGGGGACAGAAGTCTGGGAAAATAAGTCTCACATTAGTCTGGGAACCTCTGGCCTCTGAGGGCACCTGAGAGGTACATGGCGGAGATACAGCAGCTTCCAGGACCCTACCTTGACAGATAGGGAGGTTGTCCCATGTCCCGTCATCACGACATAATGAGACCAAGTTGTACAGGTCAGGATATCGAATCTTGAACCCTTCATGACAGGTGATGATTAACTTATCTCCATGTCTGTATGTCTTGTTATGAATCTCAGCATCTTCGATCTGTGGGATACGGCAATCTGCAAGAATGGAAAAGTCAATGTGACTCTGGGGATTTGAAACAGTTGTGCTTCACAGCTTCGAGGGAAAGCTCTCACTGCCAGACTCACACTGCAGTCCCACACACGGTCCCTGGAGGGTCTCTGTGCTGGGGTCCAATCAACAAGTGTGACATTGAAAGTGGCAGACAAGAAGTGTGTGGAGGACAAAAATCTCCCCAAGTCCCAAAAGTAACTTTGCCTCTGGCCCCAGCAAGATACTCTGTAGAGTTTATAGGTAATTTTGGAAGAGAGAGGAGGGAGGAAGATGCTGGGGATTTTTCTAAATGATCTGCCTCGTTCCCAGGTTTTCCATGAAGAGCCAGAGGGCCTGGAAGCTAGACAGCCTTCTCTGCCTCACCCTGCAGGTGAGGGAAGGGCCCCTGAGCTTCTTATGAGAGTTGGCTTTGCTGAACAGCAGGGGCTGAACTGCACTGGCTAATAGAATTTCACATCCAACTTTCCTGTTTTGAAAGAGGCAATAAGTAGGGACATATCTACTACTGCCAACATCACAAAGGCTCCGAGCGAGCAGTTGCATGTATTAACTCCTGAGAGTCAGAGTTGAATGCATTTAGGCAGGTGCAGGAAAGGTCAGGCTGGGAGTCAGGATAAGGGCAGTAGAGAAACAAGGAGCCTGAGTCACCAATAATCAAAAGATATAATAAAAAAGCATGAATAAAGGACTCTATGACACCTATCTGACAGCTCTATCTACTTCCAGCTCACTCTGCAAAGCCTCCACTCCTGCCTTCAAGTGTCCTGGTCTCTGCCTGCTCCCACCCCAAACAACAGTTGACCAACGACCTAGATCAGAATGTCTCTCTGCCATGCATGGGTACAAGGTTCCCTTTTGGGGGGCAGGCTTGGGTGGTGGCTGGGAAAATTAGAAATAATGGAGAAGAAATTCGAATGGCAAAAAGGCACATGAGAAAATGCTCTACATCACTAATCATCAGAGAGATGCAGATCAAAACCACAATGAGATATCATTTCACACCACAGAGACTGGCCCACATCCACAAGAACAAAAGCAACCGGTGCTGGCGCGGATGTGGCGAGAAAGGGACCCTCCTTCACTGCTGGTGGGAATGCCGGCTGGTCCAACCCTTTTGGAAAACAGTATGGACGACTCTCAAAAAATTAGAATTTGATCTGCCATTTGACCCAGCTATAGCACTCCTGGGAATATATCCCAGAGAGGCAAAAAGGTATAGTCAAAGTGACATCTGCAATTGTTTGTTCATTGCAGCACTCTTTACAATAGCCAGAATCTGGAAAAAACCTGAGTGCCCAAGAACAGATGACTGGTTAAAGAAACTTTGGTACATTTACACAATGGAGTACTATGTAGCTGTTAGAAAAGATGAAGTTATGAAATTTACATACAAGTGGTACTACATGGAAAGTATCATGTTAAGCGAAATGAGTCAGAAAGAGCGGGATAGACACAGAAAGATTGCATTCATCTGGGGAACATAAAGCAACAAAAAGTGAGAGTGACACACAGGAATGGCTGAGATTAGTACCAGGAATTTTGCTCCATGAATGGAAGGCCAGCCACAGGCTCTAGGTGAAAAGGAAGCTCAGATAGAGAAGAGATTACCAAATGAAGGGTGTTGTGAGGGCCCTCCCAGGGTGGGAGAAGCATGCTAAAAGTAGTCGATAGACCAAACATGATTGCCACTCAAAGCCTCTCTTACAAAACACAGAACCCAAAAGAAGAGAGAGAGAACAAGGGGGAATACCCTGCCACAGAGGCAGGATGGGACGGGGGGGGGGGGGGATGAGGGGGGGGATGCTGGGACCCATGGGGATGGATGACGGGCACTGGTGGAGGTATGGGGACTTGATCATTGTATAGCTGAAACCCAAGCACAAAATTTGTAAGCCTATAACTGTACCTCATGGTTTTTCACTAATAAAAAAAAAAAAAAAAAAAAAATTAATGAAAAAAAAAAAAAAAAAAAAAAAAAAAAGAAATGGTGGTGGGATTGGTGTTGGAATACTGAATGTAAGAAATCATCATGAACAACTTTGGGGCTGAAGCGATAGCACAGCGGGTAGGGCGTTTGCCTTGCATGCAGCCAACATGGCTGACCCAAGTTCGATTCCTCCACCCCTCTCGGAGAGCCTGGCAAGCTACCGAGAGTATCTCGCCCACACGGCAAAGCCTGGCAAGCTACCTGTGATGTACTCAATATGCCAAACACAGGAACAATTGTCACAATGGAGACGTTACTGGACCCACTCGAGCAAATCGATAAACAATGGGAGGACAGTGACAGTGACAGTGAACAACTTTATTTAAAAAAAATAAACAAAAGATGCAAAAGATGCCATTTAAAAAATTTCCCTTTTGAGCACCAAATAAAGAGAGTTTGGAGTATCCTCCCAGGATAGGAGATGCATGTTGAAAGTAGACTATGGACCGAACATGATTGCCACTCAATGCCTCTTTTGCAGACCACAACACCCAAAAGGAGAGAGAGAACAAAAGGGAATGCCCTGCCACAGAGGCAGGGTGGGATGGGGGGGCTGGGTGTGGGAGGGATACTGGGATCCATGGTGGTGGAAAATGGGCACTGATGGAGGGATGGGTATTTGATCATTGCATAATCGAAACCCAAGCACAAAAATTTGTAAATCTACAACTGTACCTCATGGTGTTTCACTAATAAAAAATAAAAAAAAATTCCCTTTTAAGGGGATGGAGAGATCATATAGCAGATAGCATACTTGCCCTGCATTCGTACAACCCATCTGGGTTAGATTTCCAGCACTGCCTGTGGTTCCCTGAGCCCAACCAGGAGTGATCCCTGAGTACAGAGCCAGGTATAAGCTTTGAGTAGTGCCAAGTATGCCATTATCCAAATTACCACTTTATATGCATATATGCATGCAAGCACAAGCTGTTTATTTCTGTTTTCATGATAAGATAGACTCCTCCACCCTCCACATACACAATGGGTTATGTTCCATAGTTGTTGCATCTGAATTTTAGAAAACAAGTCAGAAACAGAACTTTGATAATTATAGGAGCATCCTCCAGGGCCAAAGAGATAGTTCAAAGGACTGGAGCTCATTCTTGTCATGGAGGAGGCCCAAGTTAAATTCCTTGCATCTCATGGGGAGGAAAGGAGGGAGGAAGGAATGGAGGTAAAGGTGGGGGGGCGAAGAGGAAGGAATTGTCCTTGAAATATCTCAATATTCTAAGGCTTCTCAGTCACCCCCAGGGCTTATGGAATCTAGAAAGTAGTAAGAATAGTGTGAATAGGGACCCTGACTTTCAAATCTCTGTAAGCTTTGACTCATCACTTCTGGGACTCTGAGACCTGGCCCCCAATGTTGATGAGAGGGAAGGAGCAGAGACCAGCTGGGGTGTTATAAAGAGCCTTTAGGAAGAGCTTTGAGGAGGGGGTGGGGCATGTTCATTGAACAGTGACTGGAAATTTGACAACCAGAGCTCCAGAGCACAGAGTATTTGCAGAGAGGCTTGCGGGAGGCCCTGGTCTCTGCAGAATCAAGTGGGGGATCCCTCCTTGTTCCATGGGGTCACTCCAAGTCAGGTTGCTTGTTGCCCAGGCAGGCCTTCCGGGGAGTCCTTCTCCCCACTATCAGCTCCGGAACCTGGTCTGTGCAGACCTCTGCCCTCTACGTCTCTGTGCATATCCAGTGGAGCAGGGGGCTCTGGGAGCTCTGCCCAGCTGGGCTTTGGGACAATAAACCCCCTCAGGAAATCCCTCAGAGCTCCCCTTTGCCTCCACTTTGTCCTACAGAACCGTACTCCAATCTCCATTCTCCCTCTCATAGTTGCATTTTGAGCCATAAAAAGGGGCCTTTTCACTGTTCATGTGGAACCAGTAGTGTTTCTACCAGCATAAACTGAATCCCACTCCAAGTCAACCCTGAGTCATCCTGTCTGGGCTCACAGGAGAGCCAGCCACTCTCGCCGCTCCACTGCGGCCTCCCTCTTAATGGAAAATGCCAAGTTACATTTATTCAGTGTCATGACGCTGAAATTATTTACAGCAAATAAAAACACATTTACCAAAGCACCCATCCATAAAGTCTGGGCTGCAAATAAGAATCCGTGGCAGTCACTGATAGGACTAAGCCACAATTTTCATGATTGACTCAAAATTTGTTCAGGCATCAGCCAGTATGTTCAGGAGGTGGCCAGCTTTAGGAAGCGAAGCCAAAGGATTGAGTGTCCATGCAGACAGTGGGCACACGTGGGCACTGGCCACCAAAACCGGAGTTACCCATGCCTGCCTCTCTAGAGTTTTACTTGGTGGTTTATGACAGTGGTGGGCAACCAGTGAACATTGCAGGAACTAGGGATCGATGACCTGTGCACAGGTGTGTGAACTGAGGCTGAATTACAATTTTCTTTTTTGATTCCTGGGCAACAACCATCCATGCTCAGGCAATATTCCTGGCTTTGCATTCAGGAATTACTCCTGGTGGTGCTCAGAGAACCATATAGGATGCTGGGGCTGGCACCTGGGTCAGCCTTGCACAAGGAAAACACTTCATCTGTTGTATTATCTTTCTGGCTCCTCTATAATTATTTTTAAAATTGGGACAAATGAAAGTGAAGTTAATCTCCTGGCCGACATCTCCAGACCCTTTTTGGAATAGAGGCAGATTCCTCTTCCTTCCCTCTAGGCCCTGGCAGCCACCATGCCTAACTTCTGTCATTTTAAGGGACCCAGCACCACATCTCTTGAAGCATGTGGCCATGTATGTGGTCAGTTCTCATCAAATTTCAGTTATACTTCCTGTCCCTGGGTGAAGGTGGACAGAGAAGCAAAAAGCACAACTTCAGCCTAGTCCCTTAGAGTCTCCCAGCAGGGCTAACTCCAAAGATTCACCTCAGCACAGCAGGAACACGGCAAGCCCAATGGGGAAGCCATGTAGAAACTCACCAAGTTCAAAGAGCCAAAACAATAACACAGAAGGCTCAAACACCACCAACC